ATGCTTCATACATAATGACTTATTACCGAAAGAATCTTGGAAAATATCATAACTTTACCTCTTGTAAATAGTTCATTGTCAGTGTAACTTACTAGGCCAATATGACGTTAAAACCGCGGGGGCTTTGACCCCTGAACATCCTCCAAGTGGATAACTCCCCATAGGATCCCTAATAATAAATGTCGGATCAGATAGCTAGATAGAAATGTAAAAATAGATTTTCTGAATGTAAAAATAACTAGAAAAGGTCATGACTTGGTGAAAGGCTGGCGCCTTCCTATTGTGCGGAATACAATACAATGGAGCAGGTATGGCGACCTTGGATAATCCCCAGACATCGTAAAACGCAACTTGAATAAATTCCGGAGGAATAACTCGAGCACCACCACCAAGATGTTGGCTGGTAACTTGACTCTGTTCCATACTTCACCCGTGCATACCTCAGGGAAGTGTGCTGGTGCTTGGGGGCAGAGCATTGTTGAGCAAAAAAGGGGTAGGGGGCCCTCATGCGGCAGGTTCCGGCACCCTGACGTAAACATCCTGCATTGTAAACACACACGCTCGTGACGTCACTATCCCCTCAAAGGATGGCCGCGCCTGAGTGTCTGGTCGCCCTCGCTGTTTGTTTTGCTGGTATCTGGTGTATGCAGAAAGGCAGATCAGCCAGAAGGAGGATTTTTTCAGGTGGGTAGCCCGCGTAATTCAATAGCATCTCTCGGATTTATCAGCGGTGGGGAATTTTCATGATACAAGATAGCAGGCGCCAGGGAACACCGGTACCTCTTTCAGAGTACTGTTCTTTTTTTTTATTTCGATAAGTTTATTATGCACCTCATACTCGGTTTGTAAGCTGGTGTCAAAATGCGACAGAGAAATATGATAGATCCAGGGACTGGATATCGAAGTTATCTTGACTGAGCACGCTATTGGCTCGCCCCATTCTAACCTTCCTGTGGTGTATAGAAATACACCTAGTTGGGTGAATCTTATTAGATTGGCATGGTACAGTGGTTAACGTAATTGCCCGCTAATTTTAGAAATGACTTGCCATGGGTTCGAACCCTTCATTTGGTGCATTAACCATGTTATAAGTCACAGAACTGGTGGGGCTTGAACACGCCATGAGTTCAAGTCTCACCCGTTCTGTGATTTGTTGTAATCGTGTTATTCCGATTTCGCGAGCCAGTTAAGCAAGTTACATTTGTAATGAGTTTACAGAATAATGAATTTATGCACAAACTTATGATGACATGGTCTTGGCTCTTTTTATTGATAAATTTAATCAGAAACATCGAGACTTCTTCTCTGAGATTTCGGTCCGATTTTGCTCTCGGCATACTTGGATACACTGAGAACATAGGAAGTGGAGGGTTGGTTATGTTGACAACAATTGCAAATGTGATTGGTTATGGTGACCATTGTCTTGTTCGCACCCTCCACAGGACCTTGGTGTCTAGTGCATGACGTATGTGAGGCATTTAACTGGTGCTTAAAGTATGTGAGACATGATACTAGTGATTGACCTATATGAGGTATATGCGAATAACTTAAGGATAGCACGTAATCAAAGCAGGCGTGCACTGGGTGTATTGCGCTTCTTTGTCAATAAGTATGGCCTGGCAGACATGGAGCCTCTTGACTGAATGAAGCCACTTTAAGGCGTTCGACTCACAACCAAAAAGGACCCGGGCTCGATTCCCATCATAGAGATTGAGTTTCATACACCAGGTAATGAAAGCTGCCAGATTATATGTGGATAAGGGAACACTTGAGAAGTGTAGACTGGGGTAACTTGACTAGGGGAGTATCATGAGGGAGACCAGACAGAAGGTGGTGATGGTTGCCATTATGACATTTTCAGAAGCATTGTACAAGCTGCATTTATTCCTAATAAAGAATTTAGATTAAACATCAATGACTAAATGGATAAAACATCGAAAAACTCCTTGGGTGAAAAGAGACATTTACAGAGGTGAGAATCACCTTATTGAACAATACATTCAGTTTAAGAGAGAAGTTAAAATGTGAATAAAGCCGAAAGAGAATGTGAAATTAAGGTTTCGAGAGAATCCAAGACTAGGTAATACTAAGAGTTTCAATCCAGGTATATAGGAATAAATTTAACTCAGGTTAACTTACTGTTAGTGATGTACTGATGTACAAATGAGTACATCACTGTTAGTGATGCACTAATTTGTTAGTAGAATTATAGCTGAGTAGAACAACCCAGGTAACTTTAAATATAAGTTGGACTTGTATATGAGTTTATTTAGGCACATATGCACATAAGTACAATTATCATAAAGTAAATTACCTAGGATAACCCCAAAAAATTCAGTGGCTTATTTACATCAGAGTCCTTGATTTGTGGGTGGGTGTGAGTTAACCTGCCCAGTATGAGCTAGTAATCCTCTAGCAGTGTTCCTTTGTCCTTGTGTGAGACTTCAGTATGGTAATGAAGAAATCGTCAAACATAGGATGAATAGTGTGTGGATGGAAGGAGGGTGGGAGGTGTGGATGTGTCTAGTGGTGTGTGTGTGGCAGGGAGGAACGGAGGGAGGAGGCGTGCGTGGTTGCCATAACCATGGCCGTATACGGAGTGTTGCTTACCATCAAGCAGCACACGGGGGATCACCTTACCTCATGCACCACCACTCCTAACACGCACAGATTTCTTGCCTCTTGCGCTCATTCCCCCCTCTCTATCTCTCTCTCTCTCTCTTATGCACGCTACTGCCTTATTGTGTCCTCTTTTAAACATGCCTTATTGTTCTGTAAAATAAAATAATGCTGATCTACCAGGCTGCTGGTGTCAGCCGCACCGCAGACCGGCTGATTAGGAACAGACTTAAGGAACTTACCCAATTCGTTCTTTAAGACAGCCAGGAATTTGTTGGTAAGTCTCTTTCGCATAAAGAAAGGGAGTTAGAGTCTTGGCCCTCTTACACTTAAGAAGTTGTCTCAGTATATTCATCGCGGCTCTGCTTTTCATTGGAACCATTTTACGCCGTCTGTTTCCATGTGGAGTGAATTCAACGTATAATTTTGTTACCAATCCCTCCTATAATATTTTGTTAAAGGGTGTTTGAGAGAGAGAGAGAGAGAGAGAGAGAGAGTCCTTTAAGTATAGTCTCTCATCTGCTCAAGCAGAACAAGAGAGAGAGCCCCCCATAAAGTAAGGCAATCATTAAGAGTAATTAGTGTCAAGCCGGTATCCATCCTGAGGGGTTGTGGACGCTAGTCTGCTCTCACTCATCAACATGATTTAGGACAAGTCATTTAACACTAACCACAAAAGCCAGTGTCCGAATATTAATTCTTCTCTTAAGACTGCATGCGAAGAGTTGCCTTTTTTAATGCACCGAAATAGTTGACCCCCAAACAGGTAGGTGTGTACTCACCTAATTGTGGTTGCAGGGGTCGATTCATAGCTCCTGGCCCACCTCTCCACTGGTCGCTACTAGGCGCACACTCCCTGCTCCATGAGCAGGGAGAGTGTACCTCTTCTTAAAGCTATGTATGGATCCTGCAAGATATAGAAGGTATAAGAGAAAGAGACAAAGAGGAGAGGCAGCTAGGTGTTAACTAAAAATTGTCACCGGATGAACATTTAACGAAATTGTGGACAACTCGTAAGCTATACTAGCGAAATGTTAAATAATTTTACAAAATACGTGCGAAGAAATACTAGAAAAAACTGTTAACAAAATACTCTAGTCCAAAATTGTAATCAGCAACTGTTGTGTGGTTCCCACACCTAAAATCTACATGGATATTTTAGAGAAGCTCCTCAGAGCTAAGCTGTATAACCCGGTGGATTTAGTGCTTAGTTTTGATTATAATAATCATAAGACCTAAGAATGACAACCTGAGTTAATAAAATAAAAAAAGTTATAATTGTTTAATCTGCTAAAGCAGATAGCGGATGAAACAATTTATCAAGAGTAGTGTTTCAGCGGGTAATTAGCTAATGAGTGTAATCCCATTAGGCGGTGTGATTGAAACTGCCTCCTCCCGCACTGCCATTAGCAGCCATGAACGTCGGTCGTCTCACCCACAACTTAACCTTCCCCTCCACCCACCTCTCTTTTACACCTGAGTTATATTTGGATTGCCCAGTGCATAATTGCTGTTTATGGGTTTTGTCTGCCGTTTAAGGTTTCACAACTGTTTAATGTCGATACCTAGCCATTATGACTTTCCTGTATCTTAATATTGTTTCTTACCGAGTTTTTTTTTTTTTATGAGAGGTGTTGGCGCCTGGGGAAATTTTTCCAGACGCATGTGTGAGCCTCACGGTATGATGACCCCGCTCAGTGGAGCTTCTGGTCAGTTTATCGAGATCTTCCACAGAGTTATCTGTCTGTGGCGTTAAACAGAATATTACTGTTTTTCGAGTACTGCTGAGAAGCGCCACTTGAAAAACAGTGGAACGTTTTTTATTTAAATATCCAAGGTGTCACTTCTGTAAACATTCATTTTCTTTTTAAAACTTTAACAAAGTACCAGTTATTGCCCCCGAAGTAAATGTTATATTTAAGGATTTGTTGGGGTGATACAGGAGTCCAAATGATTGCGTGTAAGTCAGACTTGCTTAGTATGGGTTAAAAAGCCTGCTGCAGTGCTTCTCTAATCTTAACCATTAATTCTCAAATGTTGCTCCGTCTTTCGAAAATTAGGGTACATATATTCAAGAGATATACGAAAAAAAAAACAGGGCTTTTGTCCTCTCTAAATAAACTTAGGACATTTACACAGGGTTTAGCGCAGAAGTAATAACAGTAATGAACTTGGTTTAGGAGTTTTGAAGACGTATTATATATATATGCATTGAGAGTTTACTGTAACTTCTGTATTTAGACTTAAAAGTATTCTTGATGCTAGCATACAGGTGAATTACCACCTTAACAACCCACATACAATTGATAGATAATAAAGTATAACCGGCAGTCGAGGGTGGTGATGCTGGCTAACCTAGGCACCTTCACCCTAACCGGCAGGTACAACAACGAGCCTATGTTTGTGAGGAAGCCGCGAACCATCGACGCTGAGGAGGGTGACCTCGTTATCATCGAGTGTGAGGTGGCAGGAGACCCCAAGCCCACCGTAACCTGGCTTCGCGACTGGCTTAAGGTAGGTGGTGCATCCTCATTTATATATATATATATATATATATATATATATATATATATATATATATATATATATATATATATATATATATATATAAGGCCAGGACTCGATCCTTCATTACCATTCCCAGCACTCTAAGAACTGAACAAAGTACGCATCCCTCTACCCACTGGACCATCAATTCTTAAACACCAGGAGCCCAGCAGTACTGAGCGTGTTTTCCCTCGTGCAATGACATACGTGGCCGTGCCGAATAGGTAAAACTTGCGATTCCGGCTTAAATAGCAACGCTTTTCTTACTGAATAAGGCAAGCAAAATTTTGTGTATACACTAATTTCACAAAAATCATTCTGAACCTAACGAAAAAATATATTTCGTTGTGTTTGTTTATTATTAAATTATCGTAAACTTGTCTAAAATATATTTAGTTGGAGTAGGCTAAATTAAATTGCGCTTGTTATAATAAGGCTAGGTAAGTTTTCTAAGGTTCTTTGGTACAAAATTATTAATTTTTACATTAACATTAATGAAAAAAAATATATCTTTAAACGTATAAGAGAAAATTTTAGAAAGGACTTAATTTTAAATGAGTTCTTACTCATTGACCAATTTTACCTATTCGGCACGACATATATATTATATATTTGTCGAACAAACAAAACAATAAGTACTGTGAAAGAAGCCAGTATCTTTGGCGCCAGTGACTGCCTTTGGTTTGTTGATACGTGACGTCACGTGGATCCCAGGGGTCAAGTGGTATCACCAGTAATGTGTTAGTCTGATGATCAATATTTGATTTTTCTTGCAAAGTTGACGCCTCTTGTTTTATGAATGAATGCACACATATTTTATCAGGGCATATGAATGTACAGTAAACAGTTATAACTCTAACAAGTAAACAGAGATCAAGTAAAGATAGTTTCAGAGGTTTCTTATAATTAGGCATACCACGCTCAGCTCCTGTCGGGAAATGCCTGAGAGAACGCATGGCTCCTGTCAGGGGAGGCGTGAGAATAGGCTCGGTTCCTGTCGTTGGTGGCGTGAGAACACTTTAGTGGTCAGGGGGGAAAAATGACTGCTTGAACGTCAGGTGATGTGTAAACTGAGGCTGGAAGCCTTTTATAGCATAAAATGTTTCCTCAGTCGCTTCATGCACTAGAGTAGGCGGAAGTGGGTCAGGAGGAAGAGAATGAAGGTGGTTGGAGAGAATCAGATGAATTGTGACGTTGGAGTAGAATAAGAAATATGAAAGTTTAAGATTGTATTCACATATTGCATTAAGTAAACAATTTATTGAATGACATAAAATATGGCTATGCTACTCAAAAGATACACTTATACTCACTGAGTTTCGATAAAGATCCATTTGTGACATGTAATCCTGCCTTTTTGTGGCTACAGTCACAGGATGAACTGCGGGAGCAAATTGAAGTAGCTTTGTAGGCTGCACAAATTAAAGGGGATGAGAGATTTAATGAGGATAAGGTAGGAGAGGAGAGGTGGGATTTTGGGAAAGGGAGCAGCGTACAAAGTTAAGGCGCGTTTTTTCTAGCTATATTTAAGTTTTATAAAATTACACTTTGTAGATCGTAGGAGGCGACGAAGATCTTTATCATTGTGGCACAGTGACTGTTAAGGTAACCGATAACATCAATCCCCCGGTTATGTACGCCATTGTTCATCGTGTGATCGCTCAGTGGATTCACGCCTTACAAGGATTTATGTTCGGGTATAAGACTATAGGCAAAAAAATTGTTTAAGAACGAGTCCTTATATTCAGACAGTGTTGTTAATCGTCATTTTGAGGACTTATTTCATATTGAATTATGGCAAAATAATTATATGAATTTTTATTTTTATTGAGACAAGTTTTAACAAGTGCTTCCTGACGCGGGTCTTTGATGATGACCCGCGTTGGAGCTTTTGGTCATCTGACCGAGGCCTTCCGCTGACTTACCGGTCCACCCCTTTAAAAATTATGGTCTTAGTTATAACCATTTAGTTTTTTCTCGTCACCTTAAATGTTTTTGTCTTAAAGTTAATACTTGTGTTTAAAAGAACACATTAACAGTGAGTTACACGATTTTCTAACGAGTAAGAGCAAGTGCAGTGGGAAGCGTTCGACGGCATCAGGCGATCACTGTACCAACACACTCCTGGAGCATCGTTACCCATCTGTACCCGTCATGTATGCCTGTTATTATAGCGTGTACAGACGCGGCTTCTTGTGAGCACGAGCTTGCTGTGTATTGGATAAAATTTATATAACCTTATATTGTTATAAAGTAATGATTTCTCGTACGGAGGAACATTTTACGATAGATAGATTTTTTTATGATTTTTTCCGCCAAAGTAGCTAGTTTGTTGTGCACTCCATAACCAGCCTATCGACTGTAGCAGACGAGCAACTCGGTACACATAACCCTCAGTACTAGGTCCTATGAGAATTAATACGAGTACATTTGCTTCATATTTTTTTCGGATAGCGATGTGTGTGGAACTTATCAAGAGGGTTAAGGGAAATATTATCCATCGCATTCCATCACTCGTACAGTTTATGGCATGAAAGGCATCAGAGCTGCTGTTAAGAATCTTTTTCTGCCAGCAGCGCCTCAACAGTATCATGTTCAAGGCTACTCACACTCTTCACTGGTTTCTCAAGAATGTGAATCTTAGCTTTCTTGCATATCAGGAGTTGTGCTTTCATTGGGTACCATCAGTGTATTGCTTTGTGACACCTAATGTTTAACTTATACTTATTCTCGTGCTATTTAAAGTTTGTTTCCGCACATTCGTTTCGACGGTGATGGTGTTTTGAATTTTTAAAACAAAATTGGGTGTACCAGTTGTTATCACTAAACCGAAATGGCAACAGCAACGTCACATGGTATCTTTGAACTCACTGTTAAGAACAGTAACAAAAACATGATATATTACTTGATTATCTCAAATGCCCACTCAAATCACCCGTCAATCACGGCCTCACATTAACAGTCCAGATTAAGACCAAACATTTCTGTACAAGACTGCACGAGACTAAAATAGCACAGATTTGAGCGGTTCCTCAGATTTCAGTTCAGACACAGACGCAAGCGCCTGTTCACAGATGTATTTTAAGAATAAATAAACCAAATAAGAGGCTGTATGTGTTAGTATTAACCCACCAAAGCTGTATCACGGTTTAAACATTCTTCGTGAAAATTAGATAAGTAGTAGTGTGTAAATTCGACTTGAGTAATATCTTCGTAACCTAACCACCTCCCTCTTCTCCGAAATAAAAAAAAAAATTGACCCTTGAGAGCCTAAGGCCTTGGCGGTTGCTACTACTAATCTCATGCTATTTGTACGAAAGCTTTGCCATTCTTTATAAATGAGGATGCTATGTCTATGTTGACTGCTACACAGGCTATCAGGTTATATCTACCTTGACTGCTACACAGGCTACCACTTCATTATATTTGCATTAACTATGTTACAAAAGATGCCTACCGACTGTACCTAACGCGTCAGTCTGGAGTTTTAAGACTGATCACGTGTTTTAACCCTCCCGTGGTATGGTTTATACCTCAAAAGTTATCAGACGCTTCCAGTTTACAAAAAAATTCGGATTTAAAGGTAGTTTCTTCTGGGGTTATAGCTGGCCTAATTTTTTGTTGTCCTGATCACCACGGTTGTGTTGTATATTAATATGGAAAATCTCCTTACATTTTTTCACTGATCGAGAAAATGAGAGCATGTTTTTCTTAACGTTTCTGGTGTATCCTATGATTATAGTAGAGTAGCCTAACCTGACTTTACGAAATCAGGTGATTCCTTAAACTCACAGGCCAGTGCGTTAACCACTCAGCCAGGAAGACTCACTTGCCGTGGGTTCAAGCCCTACCTGCTCCGTGATTTCTTTGCAATCGTGTTATTACGATTTCGTGAGTCATGCTGACCTAACCATTCTGATGATTTTAGGATACTAGATTGCAACCGAGTGTGCTGATTGTGCTCTGCATCCCCACTAAGCAAAAACTGAAATTTAGCTCTGACAACACTAGGACATTTGATATACGTTTCGCTTAATGAGAGGTTTGCCAATACAATATACAAACTGAGAAAATACTGCTATTATGCATGGAAGTTTGTAGGGATAACCTCGGCAACGCCTGCGTCGTACACCTAAATTCCCATGGACACCTCAAGAAGTGGGATTAAGCCAGATTGGTCATTAAAAAAATGTATGAAGCCAACATTGATTGCCGTATCTTGGCTAAATATTACCCCTTCAGAGCACGGTAGTCAGGTGACCTAATTAAATTCACTTCTCTACTGGTTATGTACCAACCACAGGCTCTTCACCTGACTGTGGTATCGCCTATACATGCTAAGTTTTTCTCAGTCCTTATTGAATTGACGAAACTCCTATGAACAAAGCATTTTCATAATAAATGTCCTAGTGCTGCACTTGTCTTATTACATACTGGTTGGTATTGGTATTTGATACCATCTTTGACCAGTCACATCACAATTGAGCCTGAGTCAGTAACGGTGGCATGTAGTAGTACTTCAAAAGCGGCGAGTCACTTTATGGCCCTGGATTACAGAAGCGGCAGAAAGGGTGAAATTTTCTAACAGTTACCTAGTTATTACGATACTAAACGCAGCTTTGGTAGCCTCGGCTACGGAATTTCCGACCAGGGGTCGATTTCATAGATATTAACTGGTATTGCTGAATATTGTTCTCTGGACATTATTTCTTTCGGAAATGAAATTATGGTGGAAAAATTTATGAGTGTTATATATGTAACTTCGCTGTCATGAATCCAGCTGTCTTGTCTACTTCTCAGGTTGCCGTAAGTTCAGGCATCTTCCGTATTTCCAGGACGCTATTCTTCCCTCATTCCATTCTCTTCGCTACCATTTTCAGGCTGAAAACAAAAAGGTAGATTTTTTCCGGCTTCTGTAGTCTTATCATTCAGTTTATTTCACTGCTCTGAAATTCCTCTATTTTTCC